AGGCTCTTCTGTCAGCCTCACTGCTGTAGCTCCCACACGCCTTTGCTGGAGGTATCCTTAGTTCTCTTCCTAATCTGTCTGTCTGTTCACCCTCCCCTGCTGAACCTCAATGTTCCTTGTCCTGGATACATGTTCCATTGTCCCTGTCTGCCTTCCCTCTCTCCTATCCCCAAAGCCCGCAGCCCTTTTACAGGACAGCAGTCACCAGACCCATCCACAACGGCAGTGCTATTCGGTCCTCTCTCCTGCCACTTCTCATTGCCTGATCTCAGTTCTCTACTCTGTCCCCAATCCAGGTTCCCACTGCAGAGTGTCCCATGCTGCCCCAAGAAGAACAGACCCCTCACTGCCAAGCTACTTCCAGCTTGAGCTACCCTCCATGGACCTGGGCCAAGCAGGGTTCTGGGAGTGATTACTGAGCACACGTAGAAAAACATGGATGGAGATCGAGGGGACAAGGGACAAACAGACAGCCTGGAGCCCACACCCAGAACTGCCCTTATCTGTTCTATCTAGTTTTAAATGAGCAGCCACAGATACCTCTGGTATCTACTCGAGACCCAGATGAGAGCAAGAGGAGGTACCAGGTCATTCCCTATAGTCTGGCTAGGTCCTGCAATCCTTCTAGTGCCACCAGGAGCATGGCCTATCCAGGAAGGCAGGGATTTGACATGGAACATGGCTTCCAGAAGTAGGCTGCTGTCCTTCATCCTGTCCCTTGCTGAGCACTCATCATGGGCACATAGATGTTTCTTCTCACAGTGACGCTGGTGGCCATGCAGTAACAAGGCACAGTGGTGTGTTTATCTACAAGCGTTGTTCACAGACCACCAAGTCTGTAGGCTCCTCAGCAGCTCGGGTCACAGAAAGACAACAACTGTCCTCCAGACTTCATCTAAAACAACACTGTAGGTGGCTGTCACCTCTTGTTTCTATAGAGCTTCTGTCTTTAAGACTGAGAATAAAGGTTCCATTCTTTCCACAGGGGAAGCTCACCAACATAATGCTTACTACTCCTCTGGGCCAGCTGTTTCTGGAGGCTGGTAGGACACAGCCAACACTGTCTGGGCTAAGCACAAGTGTGCCAGGCTCTAGAGGCAGGGGGGATCAGAGGATGACTGGATAGTCTACTCAAAACCTCAGGCTAAAACCCTGGCTAGAAATCTCAGAAGTCAGTTAATAAGACAAGACACAAAGCACATTTTACAACATTGCACTTGATGCAGTCCAAAAGCCAGAAAAGGCAGCATCTAGAGCCCCAGCGCTAGCACTGTGGGTCATGGTGTGCAAACAATGCCTCCTGAGGAGGTATCAGCAGTCTTGCATGGGGTTCTGCGTGGTCCGTGTCTCAGCTATGCAGTCCACTCAAGCCTTCTGATTTTGTATCACACTACAGCCAGCCCTTTGGGGTTTATTTTTATTTGCTGTTCCTGGGGTGGGGGGACAGCAGGCACTGAAGGAAGGCACAGGTTTCCTTCCCCTCACTCCCAAGGTCACTTACTGTAAAACAATCCCACAGAAAACAGAGGAAGCAATGAGTGACAAGTAGTCCCAAGGGGATACAAGGCATTCTACACCCTGGAGCTTCTTTTACCTGAAAGACCCCTTAGAAATCTGGCTAAAGAAGGACACACAGGAACACAGAACTCCCTTGCTAGCAGAGATAATGTAGCTTGTGGAGAGACCATAGTCAGACGCTCACTGTGCAGAGCCTATGGGCATCATGGGTAATGTACTGAGGGGCACCAGAGATAGAGATGGAAAGGGAGGTGACTGCCTGTAGGAGGGCACCTTCACATAGTATACAGATCCTTGTGTACCTAGCCATGCACACTCCCTCAGAGAGGTGCCTCTACTCAGGGTCCAAAGGCCCAGTGCATAGCCTGAATTCCTGCCTGTCCTGTTGCGGAAGGACCTCCTGCAACACTGTCCCACTCTCCCAAGCTGGCCCAACACAGCTACAGAACCAGCCCAAGTGCAGCACCCCAGCTGCCCCCTCTCTGTTCTGGCCTATAGGCTAGTCCCTGCCTTGCCCTGGGTGTGCCTCCTCCTCAAGCACAATCCTGCTCCTATGGAAATGACAGGCAGCAACACATTACTGCCTACATGGCAAATCTCAGTGAACAAAGCAGGGGCTGTGGAAACCATTGCCAGTAACACCCCACTGCCAGAGGCTCACCCCACCCTATCCACAGGGCAGAAACATTTCCTAAAATGTCACAGTGGCAAGCACAATCTCTTGAGCTCACCAGCACCCCAGGGGTCTTCATTTAATTTAATTCAGTTCTCCACAACACACACTGGGTTCATGACACACACTCTTTCCAGCCTCCAGGACATCAAAGTGCCACTTTATTCTAGCACAGAAGAAAATCTACCCTGTGGCTCCCTGCCCTCGCCATCCACACCCAAACTGCAGGTTTGCAGGGCTGCATTCCAGGCGGCACCCACACCCTGTACTGGCTGTATGAGGAGGTGGAGAGGAGGAGGACAACACCCTCAGGAGGCCAGCAACACACTGTGCTCAGACTCTCAAGGTGAACCCAGTAATCATAACAGCACAGCTCCAGCCAAACAGCAAATAAATACATCTCTTAAACAAGAGAGTGCTGAAATCACGCAGACTGAGCAAGAGCAGGGGATGCCATTACAGCAGCCTGTCAGGATGCCATGGGTCCTGTCTATCACACACATAGCCACAGTGGCCCCAGTCACTCCCAGTGGCTAGTAGCTGCACATAGCTTTTGATTACCTCTCAAGGGGCATAGGTACTGCTGACCACATGACACTTCACTGCATAGACTCACAAGATAAAGGCTGCACCCAAGAGCCCGTGACCAGTGTTCCGATCTAGTCCGAGCCAGTCTGTAGGGAGAGGACTGACAGCCCTTTGCTGAAGGTGGCTCATGAAAGAACTCTGGGGCAGGCTGTGCTGGGCACATGTTGTGGTCTAAGGTCTTTCCAGAAGGCTGCAGAGGTATTACTGTAGGATGGGGGATACTGCTCCTAAACACATGGCTGTGTATAACATGAGTTCTCTACTGCCCTGTATCCTATGACCCTAGGCTGGCCTAGCCTGGAAGGTGTTGCAATCTGCCTTGAGCCTTCTTAGACACCATTGCCCAACCTGAGAGGCCAGATTCGAGGTGGCAGTAACCTGACAGGCTAGCTCAGCTGAGACCTCTGGCCCTCAGGAAGATGGGCAGTAACGTGAATCTGGGACAAGTTCTCTGGCTTCTGGGAATCGGTCAGACCAGGAGTGCATATTGTCCAGTGGGAACGTAATGCCCCGGCCAGCACACTGAGTGGCCACTGTACACCGGGAAATCAGGAAAGCAGGGCCTTCTCTCTTCCATAAATAGGTAGTTAGGTCAAATGGCCAGGCAGGTGCCTGTACAGCCAGCCCTGCTTCCCAGAGCTTCCTGAGGACAAACAAGTGTACTATGGGAGACAGCTGAGCATTCAAGTATACTATGGGAGCATCCTCCCAATCCTACAGCTGAGCATTTACTCCAAATCACTTGGTGACAGGGCGAGTCATGTTCCCTAGAGCTTCTATGTTCTCAGGATGCAGCAAGAAGGGCCAGGTAGGCCAGCAACCTTGCATATGCCTAGTGGGGCAGGGAGCCAACATATCTCAACCACTCATAAATCATATCCACAAGGCTAGTGCTGTCCAACCGAGGACCCCAGTCAGCACACTGAGCAACCCACACAACAACTGAACTCTGTAATGACAAGGGCAGTGACTTAGGAGGACAGCCTCATGTCCCATGTACTTAAACACTAAGGCTTGGTAAGACCTCTGCCTGCCAAGCCAAAGGTCTTACTGGAAGCTCCTTCCCCTAACCTACACCCTCACCTGTCCACAGGCCTTTCTTCTACTGAGCCCTTCTTATTTGAGCTGCTGCCATAAAGTGCCAGCCTCACCCAGAGAGGGTCTTCACACATCTGTTGAGGCCATCAGGGCAGTTTTTCGGGTGAGGCTTCCTACTCAGGTCATTCTAAGTTGTGGCAAATGGACACTAAAAGCAACTGTCACCCCTGAGGTCCGAGCAGGACTCTTGTGACTATGCAGGACTTTACCAACACCTCCAACAGTTATCAGACGGGAGGCAGGGAGCTCAGAGTCATCTGAGAAGCTTAGGGTTGAGGAACAAGACTGCCGAGTTCCCCTGAATTACCATACTGGGAACTATAGATCCCCTAGCCTATCAAGAGCTGGGTGGCCAAGAGAGTGAGGTGGAAGGCAGTGACCACAGATAGTGCAGAGTCCTGTCCCTCCAATGTTGGTGTCTTCTTTGCTGCACCCTAAATCACCCCACCCTGCCCAGCAAGGCCTTTCCCCACTAGTCCTCTGAGATGGATTCAAGGACTCTCTGACATCTTAGCAATAGCAGAAAGCACCTAGGAAGGGTCAACAGTCCTCATAATACTATGGCCACCTCTTAGGGGCACTCAGGTAGTCCAGGAATGTGGGGATCTGGATGGAACACAAAGCTGGCAGGATGTACGTCCAACAAGGCCTCTGACAACTGGGCTCTCTAGCAGCTTTACTGTTAAGCTGGTAAGGAAACTTGCACAGAGACTTAAGTGATGTATCCCAAGTCACACAGCCACCAGGTGACTGATGAGATGGGAGCTTGGCCTGTGTGGTTTCTTATCCCAAACAGCCTCTAGTGTATCACAGGTGCTGAGATAAAAGGCTCTGGGAGCTGGAGGTTACACCAGACCTTCCAATGTCACACTGGTGATGACACATGGCTCAGGGAGTCTGGGTGAGGGCTTATGAAGCTGGCCCAGGCCCAGTTCCCACCACAGTGGCCAATGCCACCAGCTCTGTGTCTCAGCGGGAGATACTTCTCAGCAGCAGGAGGTCAGTAGTGAAGACAACTAGCGCTCCTCACAGCTCCTCCACAAATCAGCCATGAACGAGAACTTAATAAACCTTTCTTTCAGCAGAAAGCATAACAGGGCTCTTCTGAAGAGCAGTTACTTACTTGGAAATCTCTTTCTTCTAGAATTTCTCTCCGCCATCTCACGAGGAAAGCAGCACAAACATACAAGTGGAAATGAGAAAAGCCCTCGGGTTCAGACTGAAAGAGAAAAAACATGGAGAGAGCAGCTTAGTGTGGGGAGACAGCAGCCAACAGGTGAAGCTGTCCTGGTGGGCTTTCTAGTTAGGGTTATAGGGAGAGCTCACTGTTACTCAGAGACTGGACTGCAGCATGCTCAACCCATTACCATAAGTGCCATTTTAAGACCAACATTCTGGTAAGCAGAGTCCCAGCCTGGGCTTTCAACATTGCCAAAAACAGTAACTCATGGATTCACGGATGACAGCCAGGAATAGTGTCAGTAGATGTGGCAAATGCCCATCCTACACCTGAGCCTTGGAGAGCAGCCCCCACTTCCCAGAGGAGAAAGCAAGTCTGAAAGTTGAGGAACCAGGTCAAGTGGGACACCGAACAAGCTGTGGGGCCGGAGGAAGTTGTCCTGTGGCCTTAATAGGGAATGCAGCCAGCACGACAGGAAGTCTGGCGGCATCTGCCTGAACTCCCACCTCACGACTCTCTCCAGTACAGTCAAATGCACCCTTCCCTCTGTTCTCATCATCTCATACTGTTGCCACCCTTGGAGGCCTGAGCAACTGCCCAGGCCACCCCCCCGGCCCTCCCAGCTCCTTCCTGGAAGGCTCTCCTCTCTTCACTCCCTGCAACTCCTATGTGGCTCCAAGGCCAAACACAAACTACTCCGACCAGGGGTCCCAAGCTTAGGGCTCAGTTTGTTAGCTTCATGGTTCTGCTATGTCCACACAGACCTATGCAGTCACTGTTATTGGTATATTATAATGAAAGTATACAGTGCATCAGAAGGTGACAGCTATGGAGAAAATACAGCAAGGGAGAAGGTGGGTTAACAAGAGGGGTGTCTCTACACAAACTTAGGGGCTGACCCTAATTTCTATACAGTGCTCAGTCAGCTAAAGAGGAACTCAAGCAAAGAACCTAGGAGGGTGTGCCAGGCGGACACATAGAGCACACCAAACGTCCTGAAGTCAGAGAATGTTGGTGACAGCCCCAAAGCACTGGGGTGGCTCAGCAGCACTACAGCAGACAATGGCTGGCAGTGCGGGGAAGCTTGTGGAGGACAGACCTGCGGGTCCCAGGCACCAGGTGCCCTCATGAGCCCAGGAAGCTCTGAGGATGGAAGAGACGCTTCAAAGGCTTCACTGGTGTCCCACTGAGAACATGGCACAGGGCAGGCAAGGTGGGAGAGGCAGAGCTCACGATAGGCAGGGACATATCCATCATAAAACTGGCAAGTGTTAGTGCTGCACACCAAAGGGGAGCAAGAGCTTGTAACTAGAGTGGAACTTCTAGATCCAGGGTAAAGGGTGAGCCCACAAAGTACTGCTACATGTGATGTATTCAGGTCTAAAGGAAAGAGGGGGAAGGGCTTTAACTAGGATGGATTTGCCACTTTCAAAGACAAGAGGCTTTGCAGCTGAAGCAGGACACCCTTGACGAGATAGCTGTGACTCTGCTGAGACTTAGAGTAGGGTGCACAAGGAGGTAACCAGTGGTCTAGACCAGAAACACCCTGACAGGAGTCAGGGAGCCCCAGGGATGCCATAGGCCCCATGCTACAAAGAGTCCAACTAGGAAGAGTGGGGAGGTGGCCAGTGGTCTTAGTGACATGCAGGCCACTAGCAGAGCAGGCTGCCCACTCTCGTCCTAGAGGTGGGCATTGCTTGTCTCCCTGCACTGCCTGCCCAGCGCTGTGTTCGTGCGACTTGCACAGTCCCTTGCTCTACTTCTTGCCTGTGAGAGGACCGGCTGCCACCATTTCATCACAGGGAATGATGTCTGCTGAGGCCTGCCATCACAGCAGTTAGGAAAGTCTCTTCCAGCTCCAGGCTGAAGAGAGCTCCTATCACAGTCACAGATGACTTCTGCATCCGCCGAGATGATAAATTCATCTGGTAGTGGGAAGACGCCTTGAGAGTCACGGTTCCTTTGACTGAACCACCTTGCGTTCCCAGGGTAAACTGTATTCAGTAATGACGAACTCCAGCTTTTAATCCTGGCTATGTCCTGACTGCACTCACCAGGCAAGAGGCAATTCTCATTTCCTCTAACTGCCTTTGTAGAGTTTAAGCGTTAAGCTATTTGCCTCTCTCCCCTTTTCCTTTCTCAGGAGAGTGTACACAGCTTTAGGATGCTTCCTTCCCATTCCTGAGAGACAGCCCCTGTGTGGTGGGCAGGGTCTGATGACTTCTCTGTGAGCAGAACTACACCCCAGAATTAATTTCTATATGGTTACAAAACAATTCAGACTTCCTCAGAGTTCTTTATACTCTTATTTTTTTCAGAAATTTCTCATATGGATTTCTGTGCATTTACAGTAATACCCTATTTGGAAATGTGAACTCCCCCTTCATTTTTTAGGCAGGCTCTCACTAAGTAGCCCAGGCTGACCGGGAGCTCATAATCCTCTGCCTCAGCATCCTACTGCTGTTTGGAGATATCAGAATTCTTAATTCTTAATTCCACTCCCAGTTGCCTTTTCTTCCATCTAAGCTGTTAACCGTGCTGGAGTTTCCTAAAATCCAGTTGTTCTCTAAAATCAATCAATCAATCAATCAACCAACCAACCAACCAACCAACCAACCAACCAACCAACCAATCAGTCAACTTAAGACTCTGATGATGGGTATTGTATTAAGCTCTCCTGTTATCTTGATTATTTCCTGCCTGTAAGTTTGTCTCTCTCCTTCCTGTAGTTTGTTGTGGGCATTCTCAAACACATACAGAAATAGAGTACTTTCTTTTTTTCAGTTCCTTTTCTAACTTAAGGGAGATGGCGGCAGGCTCATTAGTGTCTGGCTTTTCTTCATTTCTGATACAAGCAAGCAGTGCAAGCCTGTCAGTCACCCTTAGAAGCCCTACTTCAGCTGCACTCCAAGACTTAATGAGCCTTTATTATCCCAATGTCTAAGAACGTGCCACTGGCTTTTATGATGTCTTTTTTGAATCATACCTGATTTACCAGTACATCTTTTCAAATCTGTAAATGCACGGTTCATTTCTGTCCCTTTAGCTTTTGAGTTATTGACTGTGACTTAACCGAGTTCTTAGAAAATGGGATTTAAAGACTCCAGGTCTTTGAAAGTAATTTGGAATTGAGTTTGGGATAGAACACATCTTCCAAAATGTTTTATGAGGTAGCATACTTGGAGAACAGGGCATGGACACTGAGGCCACAGGCCTGGCTCTGACACAGCTGACATGACTGAGCTGTCAGCGATGACCCACGTGGATGGGCCAACACTCTGTAAGTAGACAGAATAGACTCCCTGACTCACCAACCTGGACCTGGACTGGGTCCTTTTTTGCTGGTGTGGAATGAGTAGATGTTTCTTGACATCTCCACAGAAAAAGTCACACCACAAAATGTCTGCTGTTTGTAAACACAGGACTGGAGCTCCTGGAGGCAGCAGTTCACTTATGTCTATTGACGAAAATTAACTCAAAGTGTTAATTCGTCTTAAAGGTTTTTAATCTGCATACAATCTACTAGAAAATAAGGATTATTAAAAATTTATATGACAATGGTAGATTTTCTCCTTGTAGTTCTACCAAATTTGTTTTCTATATTGGAGGTTATGTTATTGGGTACATACAGATTCAAAGTTTCTTCACTATCATTGTCAACACATATGACCCCCTTTATCTCAAGCAATCCATTTGCATAAGTCTCTGGCTTAGGGGAGCGGTAGAGCAGGAAGACACACCTGTGACCATCTATCACGTGTGCTGCATCATCTATTCATAATTAGCTATGTTCTGCTATGTGTGAAAACATCATCACAGTTAGGACAGTGCACTTGTCTGTCACCCCATGTGTGTCCTTGTGGCCATTTATAAGTCCTCTCAGTCTCCAGGTAACCACTGAGCTATTCCTCAATGCACACCAGTAAACATCCAACACTTGTACAGAGGTGCTACTGTACTATATGTACTGTTCTTCCTAATGTCCTTCACTTAGAGCTACTATTTTGAAAATTTTCCTTGGTATTCCATGCATTCATTCTCTGCAAATTCCACAGAACATTTCCCTGAATGGCACACCACACTTTGGTAATCCCTGAACCATCAGATCAGCTTGTTTGTCCATTCCTGGCAAATGTTGAGGTAGGTTCCCCTGAATGGGCGGGCACACCACAGTTTATCCCTGCAAATGCTGGGGTGTATTCTTCTGAACAGGCATGCCACAGTTTGTCTATCTACTCCTGCAAATATTGAAGCACATTTCCCTGAATGAGCACACCACAATCTGTCTGTTTATTCTGCAAATGCTGAGGTGTGTTTCCCCTGAATAGGCACATGTTAACTTGTCTATCTACTCCCTACAAATGCTAAGGTGTGTGTCCCCATATGAGCACACCACAGTTTGTCTATTCACTGCAAATGCTGAGGTGTGTTCCCCTGAATGGGCACACCACAGTCTATCCATTCATTAGTCTAGAGACACTGAGCTGCTTCCAGCTCAGGACTATGAAGCAGAGCTGTGTGCACAAATGCGCTAGACTCCCTATGGGACTCGTGCTGTCAAGCTACTTTCCAAAGAGGCTCTACCACTTTATGTTCTGAGCAGCAGTGAACAAGACTTCATGTCCCATTCCATCATAGCCAGCATCTACAGTCAGACAACTGTTTTAATTGAGCTTCTAACAGTCTGCAGTAGTAGTGTCTCACTGTGGCTCCCAGGTGCCTAGCCACACTTCCCAAAACCAGTGACCAAGCATCCCTCATGTCACCCAACACCCTTTGGTTTTTGGAGCTTTTCCTCACTGTTTTCTATTCTTGTATTTTACAAATTGTTTTCTTTTTTAATTTATTTATTTCTTTATTAATTAAAGATTTCTGTTTCTTCCCCACCGCCGCCTCCCCTTTCCCTCCCCCTCCCCCAATCAAGTCCCCCTCCCTCGTCAGCCCAAAGAGCAATCAGGGTTCCCTGCCCTGTGGGAAGTCCAAGGACCACCCACCTCCATCCAGGTCTAGTAAGGTGAGCATCCAAAATGCCTAGCCTC